GTTTTTGGTTTGGGGCAAAAAAAAAAGGGGGGGGGGGGGGGGGGGAAAAACGGGGGGGTAAATTCCCGGTTTTTTTTCCCGGGGTGTTTCCCCCCCCCCCCCGGTTTTAAACCGGGTTTTGCATGGGATAGGGAAATGGGGGAAACCCCCTTTTTTTTTTTTGGGGTTTTCCGGGGCCCCGGGGGACAAATTGTTTTTTTGGGGAGGGATTTTTTGTGGGGGGGGGGCCCCCCCCCCCCCCCCCCCTCGGGGCCGCGCGGGCGCGGGTGCTGAATTTCTTCACTTGTTGTTGTTGACACACGGGGAGGGGGGGGTTCAGTGGACTGCCTACTACTGCTGCTGTTGCTGTGCATGTTGTCTCCTTATGGTATTCTACGGGTGGTTCGTGGTTCTTGGTGGTGGCCATGTCTCAAGAGAGAAAAGTTTGTGCAAATTTTCTCCTTTTTTTTTTTTCCGTGCACGGCGTATTCGACAACGATGCGCGTGCGCGGGAGAGAGTTTAAAAAGACAAAGAGTGACTGACAAGACAGCAGGCAACAAACAAGGAGGGGGTAGGTAGGTGGTGGAAGGCACGATAACGCGGGTGCCTACCTGCACGACGGCAAGTGGTTCCTGATGGTCCGTATTTTTTGGCTACTGCTGTACCGCTGCCGAATCAAGCGCAGACACTTGAGAGAGGACACGTGGTATGTAAGCGGAGCACTGATGTGACTCTCGCTCTGTTTGAACGCCAGGCGGTAGGAAGTGAAAAGTGACAATAATGTGGGGCCAGCAGAGTTCCCTGCGGAACTTTTGTGGCACGGCGAGCGATTCCGCTCGTTCCCGGCCGGTGTAGAAAAAGTCTCCGTTGCCGCCCGCCGTTGCTCTCTCTCTCTCCTCTGCCGCTGGCGTGGTGTTGCGCTTTTTTTTCCGGCAGTGCTGCCTGCTGCGGGTGGTGTGGGTCGCGTTGTTGGTACGCGTCTCCAACGGCGCCCGAGGCATTTGAAATCCGAGGGGGCTTAGTTGTTGGCGCTGTTTTTCGACGTAGGGCAGGGAGAAGGTTACTGCCGGACCGACCGAGTTGACGGGTTTCCGTTAGTTGACGGGTTTCCGTTTCCAGCTGGTTTTGTGAGGGAACGAGAAGGCCGGTGGTTCGGAAGGGTGGTGGACCCCCTCCCCTCAAAAAT